TTTTTTTTTCATAAGGACAGTACATTTATGTAATGATTAATCCAAAAGACTTGATCTACACGCACTTAGAAGATGTAACGTTACTTTGTAAGATTTTACCTTGAGGTTCTTAAAAAAAGTGCCATCCTTAAGGTAGATGATAAAACCTATTGTCTGTGCAATTTGTTTGCTTTCCTAAAATCATGCTTAAGTTTAAGTTCCAATCACACTAAATTTTAAAAACAAATTGGTTGGTGCACTCAATATTATATTGGTATTAAAGTTTAAACTATGGTAATATTATATAATTATCTTCCTTTTTCCTATCTCGAAATTGTACCAATGCAAAAAAAAGAAAAAAAAAGAAAAAAAGAAGTTCGACTTCCAATCTCTATGGAGCAAGACTCTTCATCTATTAACTAAGTTTTTGTAGATTTGATGATGAATTATATAAAATATTATAGTTCTTATTTTTTCTTAAATTTCATTTTATATGATTCAAAATTTAAATATAAAATCTCAAACTTGAAATTTAAAAATTTTAATTAATTGAGGCATTCATTTAGAGCTACGATAGTTTGAAATTCAACAATAATAATCTCTTAATATTTACCTAAAGGCATGTTGGTAAAAAAAATATGTATCTAAAGGCCAAAGAAGTGGTTAAGGCCGTACGTTTAAAAGTTTTAAGATTACACATAAAAAAATATATTACAAAAACATATAAAATTAAATAATTTTTGTTTAAAGTCGTAAAATTTATAAAAACTAAAATCCAAGATCAAAAGTCACAACTATACTAAATGAAACATAAATTTAAATATCTCAAATTAAAAAGTAATACAACTAAAATTGATTAAAAATAGTAATTTATAAACTTATTAATGTACTAAAACTAAGGGTTTGTTTGATTAAAGAGTTAACTTTACTAAAAAAAGTCAATTTTACAAAAAAAGTTTTTATTAGTAACGTGATTAGAAAAGTATTATTATATGAAAAGTTGATAAGTATCATATAAAAAAATTGATAAGTTTTCTAATGAAATTTTGTTAAAATTTTATTAAATTGTTAACTTTTTTTTGTATTTAATAAGAAATTAATATAAAAAAATTGTTAAATAAATCTTATATAATAAAAGTTGAAAAAAACTTTTTCTTAAAAATATAAAAAAATTTATGTATTAAAATTTATTTAAAAAATAAAAATTTAAAATATTACTTTTATCCTCTTTTTATTACATAATTAATATATAAAATATATAAATAACTTGCTACAAAAAGAAAAAGTTCGGAAAACAAACCAAACAGTACACCCCCCAAAAAAGGAAACTTGAAAGGAGATGGAATTAATGGGCCTGACCGATAAAAAAGGGAATGCACGTAATGGGCCCAACATATGCAGCGGCACTACGGCAGTAACAACAAAAAATCTTCACAAACAGGATCTTAGTCAGATTGTCTCGGTGAAAAGGAGTGACCCATGACGATGAAAGCTAGGAAGAAAATATGAACTCATGGTAAAACTCCTTTTTCTTTATCTTTATCTTTATCTTTTTTTTTTCTTCTTTCTTGCTTAATTTTATAAACAATTCTGATTTTTAAATGTTATATAGTACCTAACGAGTTAAGTATCTTAGTGATCATTTCTCTTAGTGATCATTTCTCTTCACTAAAAGTAAGAAGTTTTGACTTCAAGTTGCATGGTATGTGAGTAGGATGAGATAAAAAATAAAAAATTATTACCTTTCATTATACAATCAAAATAAAAAAAAAATTATACAATAAAGTATTTTAAGTGTCAAGTTATATTATTTTTTACAATTATTTAAATATTATAATTAATAAGACGATCTAATTATCATATAATAAAGCATTATTATAATTTAATATATATTTTTTAAATTACATAATGTGAAATAGTTTTTTTCAATCTTTTTAATTCAATTTGTTTATATGCCTACCATTTAAATTAAAAATTCCTTACTTCTATTAGAATGAAGTTTCTATTACATGCTTAAATTAGTAGCAATTTTTATATTGTAATGAATAAGTGAGAAAATAGTACAAATTTATTAATTAAAGAGCATATAAAAGTGTCAACAAGAATTTGTGAATTAGTACCTATTAATTTAACATTTGTAATTTAATGTTAAGGTTACAATGTTAAATAGTTAATCCCTAAGATATAAGAAAAGAATTTGTATTATTTTCGATATAAAAATTACTATAAGAAGAAAAAAAAAGAAGGAGAAGAACATATATAACAATATAGCTATAAATATGTACCCAAAAAATAAAAAAATAGCTATAAATGAACAACCTAACCCAATGCATTGCTATATTGTATTGACGCTTTTAGAGGACATTTGGCTATAACCGCTCATAGTTTTATTAAAGTCACATAAATTAATTTAATTTAATTATTAAAAATAATTAATAATTATTATATATC